GAAACACCTATGGCGTCAGAATGGTTTATCCCTGAATCTGAAAGGACGTGTATCAAGCTACATTACGGGCTGTTTTGTTGTATGGCTGTGAGACTTGGCCTATTCGAACAGCGGAACTGAGACGTCTTCAGGTGTTCGACAATCGTTGTTTCAGAACCATAGCTCGTGTGGGTTGGTGTCGGCGAATCCGTAATGAGGCAGTTAGAAAGCGTGTTTTCGGTTGTGTAACGGGTACTTCCATTGAAGAATGTGTCCGGCACTAGAAGCTGCGTTGTTTAGGCTATGTAATACACATGTCAAACAGTCGTTTGCCTAATAGAATGTCTCAGAGTGACAAAGTCAGGGTGGTCAACTTTTGACTTGGAAGAAGGGTATGAAGGAGATAACGAAACGTTTTAGTGTTCCCGGTGCCGCTCGTATTCCAGGATGGGGAAGCAAGATCCCTACTGCGAATGTTTGGACACGCTGCAAGATATGGCTGTCAACCGATCAGTGGTGTTGTTGTTGCCTGAATGAGTGTCTGGAGATGGACGCGCCTCGGAATTATTGTGGTAAGCTAGGATTAGGTCCCTTCCTTGTGCCATTTTTCTATTCTTCACGATGTGGCCTTCAAATTAATCATGGTTTTACGACGGCGAAGCATTGGTGTTGAACACTGTTGTCACGTTGTCGATGATTGTGATGATGGAGTGCATTGAAACCTCCAGCCCCCTAGGAGACTGGTTATCATAGGAGGAATTGTGTCTCTAGACCACAATTCTTCTGACATCATTCCAGCTTGGGAAGCTGAATTAATCATATTGCATTCAGAGAATTTTTGATAAGTACAATTTAGCGGAGGTTGTGCGGATGGGACGTGCAATATGTATGCAATGTTAGTTAATGAAATTTTTCAGTAACTGGTAGTTTTTTGGACTTTTTTCACCATCACTTTACCTGAAGTCTTTGATTATCATTTCAGGTTTGCGAGCCAAGAGACGGGGCAATATTCTACTGGATAATCCAGATGTAGCTGAAACCGACCGTCAAAAATGATACTCTTGCGACAGGAATTACTGTCGGATTCATAAACGCATTAACTTTGGCGGCGCGGTACGTGACTTATTTTGACTAACCATTTTGACTTATGCAGTTGAGCCTACTTAAGACAGTCTAAGTAACCGAATGTAGTACAGAAAGCCTAATAAACCTGGCAGCCGAGCACTTGAAATTTCCCTTCATTTTCTGCGAAATGACTTTCTCACTTGAGGTGAATTCTCTATACTAGCGTAGCAGTATCAGGCTTTGAAAACCCTTCACCGAAGCATCTCCTTGGCCACTGGGAAAGATGTAGATACTTGAGCATGGATTGGTTTCCGTTTCGTACTCGGGGACTGTTTATATGCAGACTATTTCTAAGAACTTTGGCAAACCAATTCATTTGCTCTTGATTCTGGCACATTTTAAGTAATCTCCGTCCCTCGAAGACGTTTGTTGTTTTGCTTTCCAAGTGGTTTCGTGCATGACTGTAGAAGTCATCTGTTCACTGCATAGTTTCCTGTTTTCTAGTTCCAGTGCTTTTCGGCGTTTCATGACATGAGTTTTGGTTTGATTTTTCTTCATTTTAACAGCACTGTTTGGCAAACCAATTCATTTGCTCTTGATTCTGGCACATTTTAAGTAATCTCCGTCCCTCGAAGACGTTTGTTGTTTTGCTTTCCAAGTGGTTTCGTGCATGACTGTAGAAGTCATCTGTTCACTGCATAGTTTCCTGTTTTCTAGTTCCAGTGCTTTTCGGCGTTTCATGACATGAGTTTTGGTTTGATTTTTTCTTCATTTTTAACAGCACTGATGTAGGTATGGCCTCGTGATTCCCGAATTAAAACAAGCTGGCATGAACGCAATGGATTATACAAGTGGGCAGTGTGAAGCTAGTGTTACAAACAAAGGCCTAGTGATGGTGAGAACTAACAGGACTGCGAACTTTCGCAACTGACTCTAGTTTAGCTATCTATCATACGTGATCGCCATCTGAGTCCACTACACTACCCATGAAAATGCACACAGCTCATCCATTGCCGATAGGCACAAGACGGTGGTTTGAATGCTACGGAATTTGAACATACCGTTGGTCATTCAATTAATTGATAAGTCCACCAAGAACTTTGGGCAACGTTGGGCAATTTGCAACGTTTAATGACGAGCCTTGTAGCACCAAGAATTATGTTAGTCAAATTGTTTGATAGTTTAAAATCAGGCAACGGTGAGCTTCATCTTTGTGTTGCTCAACTGCGATTTGTCACTCAAGGTCACGCGATAACTAGATACCAACCTATAGCAGTGTAAATCAAAGTCCAGGTACAAGCTTTACCAACATAAAATCCATACTACCCGGTGTTCAGTACAGGTGTTGAGTACCAATGAAATGAACCGTTTGTTTCACTAAAGCTGCATCCCTCATATAGTATCACTCGACGGTTACGTGGATTAGAAGGAACCAGGGAACGGACAACGTTCGAAATGATAAACTTGGCAAAACTCCCCAAGTTGCGTTGCTTTAACTAGGCGGCGGCGTAAACTAATCTATGCAGATTGCTGAAACCATATTGCAGAATTCAACTTCACGTCTTGCCGAACAACTCAGCCTTTGTAAGGTGCCTAATTACGACTTAATTTTTAATGAAAAATTTCAACTGGTCTGCACAATGCGAAAACCCACAGCAAACCAAAACGCACTGATCAATCAAAGCTCTTGTTCTATAGGCTCATAATTCAGGGGGTACAAAACAGGCCCTCATTAGTGAGACAAGGTTTACGGCGAGGTAGATCTTATGTCCTTATGGAAACCTTCAACCGAGTTAGAATTGCGTTTCGGTCATCAGTGCCTCACTTTCGTAAATAGTCTATTTTTAGCGCCCGCTGATCAATCACTAGCACACCATACATTGAACAAGAGACAAATTTCAACCTGTTGTAATATGTGGTGTCCATTCGAACATGAAGAATCACAAAGGAAAGCTGGCGGGCATTTTAAATATGACTGCTTTTCGAACTGGAATCCCACACACACAAAGTTTGAATGGCTGGGGATCATTTTGCTTTCAACGGACACGTAACTAATTCATATTCAGTGGCTGGCGAATCGTCTGAATAACTCTTCGCAATCTCCAAGAAGAGTGGGTTCATAAGTTTGTTCAGCTACTGCACAGAATTTCGTAATACCATTCTAGCTTGGTTTGGCATACACACTCTGCCTATTAAAATCTCCTTAAGAGGCAACATCTGAACTTTTTGGTCAAGATTAAAAAAAAGACGACATGTTGAATCATTGTGTTCAAATTCCCAAAGGTGCTGGCTTCTGTCAGGTTCCGGATTTTAACTCAGAACAACATAAATCATTATGGTTGTGTAGGTTTCCAAACGTTTCTGGTCACCAACAGGGTCATGACCAATCTTTTAGCATCAAACCGCTGTTGTGGATGAATTTCACGTAGGACAAGCTAGGCAGAGCCCTCGGTAGTCTACTGGATGGTCTGTTTTCTTTGAGACAACAGACCAACTGACAGTAGTCACCGTATTCTAGAGATTCTTTCAATCCTGATTGTATTCATCTCTGAGACGTAGAGTTGGAGTCAGGTAAGTCAATTCTAGTCTACACTTTCCTCTTATCCGCGGTGTTTGCAGACTGCCTTTCACCTATATTCGGTTTTGGTCATATCGGAAGATCACGGGCAGTTAGGCGAGGTTTTACCAGGGCAAATTTCGCATCTATGTGCGTGCGCCAAAAGCACGACAGTCTCGAACACAGGGTTGAAATAGCTAAATAGTCGTCACGTAATGCAACTGCGTAACTCGACTACGCCAGTAAAGTGCTTTTTATCCTTAAAGGTGATCTTTAAAATAAACAGACTAAGAGCTGCACGCAAATGAATAAATTAATGATGAATACTTGTCTCTGGAGCGGAAAAACCGAACATATTACGCCAATAATGTTCACTATCACTGAGTTGTTTAGCTTAAGGATTAACATCAACAGATAAAATTATGCCTCCTGTGCCATTTTCCTTCCTTAAATTATTGGAGAATGTGCTCTAGAACTTGTTTGTATGTATATACTCATCATAGTCCTTTCGGCGCATACATAAATGAGTAACAAGTTGAGAACATTTTGGTTATTGGTGAGACTTGGTTGTATCGGTTAATTTCACAGCGGAGAACGTACTGTTTACATCAGTTTAGTCCTCTGGTTCTAAAACAAATTGGGGTCTGCCCACCAAGAGAAAGTCTAAGGGTCATCCATTATTCCATCCATTTGAACCCTTGAGACTAATTAGCTCAAACAGGATTTTTAGGGGTGTTTTTGAAACACAGCTCACGAGATTCTCAGAAGTGATGAAAAATCATCGAACAATCTAACGGGGAGAGCGGATATCAAATGTCACTTTGAGCAGCGGATGACCTAGTACGGACGGAAAGAGTTGATTTGGGCCAAAGGCCCAAAATTTCGATATCTGCCTCAAACCGAGCTACTTTACTTGTTAATCTGTGTTACCGCACGCGGAGAAATTAGGTGTTAGGTGGAGAAGAGCGCTCACCAAGACTCAGTGTGAGTGTCCATTGAATACTGTAATTATTGCCCAGCGTTTTGTCAAAGGGCAGGGGTCATCCGCTACAATCCCATGGCCTCTTTTGAGCACGTTTTGCGTAGCTCTTTTAAAGCATTTGTGACTGTCGGTTCATATTGACGTATTGGACGTTAATGGAATTTTATAAGCCAAGGAGCTCACGCCCCTGTTCTGTGTGGCTCCTGGCGGTGAAAAATCACCGTCCTTCCAAGTGAGCTGATATCACTAACAAAGTACCAAGAGTAGGGATAAGGCATTCAATTATGCACTTAATGACCTAAACGGAATTTCCCCTCAGTGAAATTTGTCGACATCATAAGATGCAAAATTCAACCATTTTTTAAACTTTAACTACGGCGAACTAGATTTTCTACATCATCTTAGCAGCGAACGTACTTCGTGGTTGAAGCTTTATCCATGAGGTTGGTTCTTGTTCCGTTTGAGCTGCGGTAACCGGTTGGACCAATTCGGTCGGGCTGCTCACGGTTTGGGATAACATCATGTCCGGACTGGTTGGACTGATGGCGGGGGAAGATGGTCGAGGGAGGGTCTTGTAGAACCAGGCACCTGACCGTTTCCATATCTGTGCGCGAAAACCATGGACGAAATAACACATAGTAGCAATCACCATGGATTTTTACACTACATCTGTATTGTTGTGTGTGAACAAAACTGAACTCTGTCTTATAAGCTGGCACATACAGAGACACCTTATGCTCAGCATCACTGAAATTTTCAGAACAATGCTCAGAGCTAGTTCTTAGCTAGTCCCGTATGCTGATCGATTTAGCGATTTAAAAACAGCAACAGTCAGAATTGTAGACTTCTTAACTTGTCACAACGACAACTAAGGAAATTAATTCAGATTTCTATCTCTCAAATTAAGCTGGGAGTTCAGAGCATCCAACGAGGCTAGGCTGAATAATCATTACGCACCAGTGTGGCCAGTTAGCTCCATCAACAACTCTCCCGGAAATGGGAAGTGGGAAATTATGTGACCTTCGTGCCATATTTTCCCGCATGAGCATTTTTCATTCCTCCCGTATGAAGCATACGGGCTGTTTAATCCATCTACTTTGGACATGTCACTCGGAGTGATAACATATGTTTTACTCTGTTCAGTTACAGAAAAAAAATATTCAGGTTGTGTGGGTTAACGCGTTATCAACGAAGTGGAATGAACAGACTGTCAGGTGATTGAAATCTAGGACACAAACTGTTATGCCTCAACGATTTCTGCGTGCAGGATGAGTGAATTTCGTAGAGTAACTTCAACCGGTAGACAATAAATTTGAATTTCTGAGGCGCAAAAACTCGTTCACTGGCGTGTATTTAATAGGTCTCAGTTACGATAATCCTTTCAAATGTGACCGCTATTCAGACTGTGCTGGATTTCTACCAAACTTTTCAAGGTTTCTTTCGGACTAATCACCGTTGGCAAGTCAAGCCTGCCTAACAGTTGTCTTAACTACCGGAGAGGATAAAAATTATCAACAGTTCTTGCTTCTAGGAAGCTTGGTCATGTCGGCTGTAACATTTGTGAACAGCTGTCTATCACATTCTGAACAAGCGTCCAAATTCCACCAGGTTAGTCGTTAGGGTCTACTTTCTGTTGGAGCCTGTATTGACTCTTGCTCAGAATGTTACACTGCCTTTTCATAGGCAGTATTGTCACCAGGTGTTAGCTTGTACAAAACTCAGAAGGAAGATTCATAGAGACATTCTTCGCCCCACCGCCATCGGTGACTGGATGTATGCTGCATATGTTTTACAAAAATCAGTACTTCACCTTCATGTAGGATTATTTGCAACTTTCACAAAAATCTACTTTAAATTTTATCAGTTGGTTGATACTGCACAACCAAGTAAGTGTGCTTGAATTATTGAAATTCATAGCTCACCGGCTTTTCAGTTGCGTTTCAAGTAAGGCGGAATAGTGGATCCGCCCATCTGAAACTGAAGGATTTGATAGTGCCTAGTATGTCCGTGTAGAATAACGAAATAAATGCAGGCATTTTTATTTTTGCTGTTCGAGACGGCCGTAATACTGATGTCGAAATTTATTCAGCTGAAAATATTGGTACACATATGCTGACTTGTTTAAGGGTCTTTGCAAGAACTGGATTATCATACATTTGGCCCCGACTCGCTGCAGTTCATGTTATTCATGTTCTTTTGCTTTGAACTGTAGTCAGTCTCATCACTCATTTTCCAGTGGATTTTTAAAAGACAAGACAAAGCGCATTGTGCTCCTTGAAGAGTTCCTGCGGCGCTATTGCAACCATCTTGGTCGGGAGACTATGCTTAATTCACTCACTGCACCTGATCTAATCTATTCACACGTAGAAGTAACTAGCAAAAGCATTCAACACGCAGAGATGGCTGTTTACATGATAATGAACTGTGAGGTGTTCGTGTGAAGTAATCATTTGGCCTATTGATTCTTCCGTCATGAGTAGTTCGCAGGTGGAAAATTTCCATTTGGAAAAACCACTAGGTTTCCTTAAGTCAAAGTTGCAAAAGTCAAGTCAACAAGGTTCAAATAGAAATTTAGGAATAATAGGGGAAGGCATGATCGGATGATGATGATGATGATGATGATGATGATGATGATGATTGTTTGAAATCAGCAACAGCTGTTTAGGTCAAGTCTTCACACGGAGTTGATAACCTGATCATGTGACCAATATGATGACGGATGAATCTCTGAAACTTATCTTAAGCTTCGACGTGTGGGCAGGGGAAGAAGTCAAATTCTGGTGGGCCCAGCACGTGATTAGGACATTTTGCCTACGAAGAGCTGATTCACGGGTTTGGAGTGCCACAGCCTGAGCTACTGTAAGTTTCGGTGCTTCATCTATCTGTGGTGATTAGCGGACGCCTCGGAGATTCTGGAAACTTGGGCTGGATGCCACACTTTTTTCTGCCTGTTAGGTGCTAGACTACTTAACTGGTCAGTGTTCTCCAAGTTCCAGAAACTGGCGCATTCATCGGTAGAGTAAGAGGAAGGGTGACAAATCACGGACATTCTCGGCCACCCTGACTTCGAAGTTAAGGGAAAACAGATGGTTGCTTGTCATATAAAACAATACAAATTATTAAAAGACCGCACAGTTGCTCTGAATAATCGATAAAAAATTGGAAAATTAGATGGTACCTGATTGGGACAAATACACTCATTTGCAAGTCAGTTTGGTTTCCACCGGAGACAACTTGATCTCGTTTATTTTATTCTTTAACTGAATGTTGTACACAACGACCGCTTCATGCTTCACTCAGTAAGGTATTCAAGATATTGTAGTATATGTTCACATAGGAAACTATTCACAAGATTGCTGAAAAACCTACGACCAGTTTCGCCCATCTTGGGCTCACCAGGCAGATGCTGTCCTTGAGATTCCGTCAACCATGAGTTTTACTTGAAGCCGAATTAAAATAATTTTGACAAATAATCTCATTCGCATATCAATGCGCTTTTGACGTAGACTTACCTGGAAACAAAATCAAACTGGTATGCAAATTGTTGTATTTGTCAAAATCTGTCGAATTCGGGTTCAAGCAGGACATTAAGTTGACGGAAACTCGGGAGGTCGCCTACCTGATGAGCCCTTAGGAGGACAGAAGCGGTCGTGGGCTGTCGAAGCGTTTCCAGCAACCTTATGATTGGTGTTTTACGACTATATAGCTCTACAGTGCCTTCGAATATACACTAACCTCACTGACAGGAAGAAATCTCAAATGAGATTATCAGATCTCTGCAAACTACTATCAATCTGGAAGTGGCTCAGAGGAATAATAATCCCGAAAGGTGAGCAAAACGTTCACCTGACATGTCAACATTCGAAGAGCCAGTTATTACGCGACGCATTTGCGGATTGAAGGATGAGTGGCGCTATATGCTTTGTGACAACCAGCCAAACAGTTTTTCATCCATCCATAGCCGTGCTCAAAGGTGATCAGCACTGACAGCCTCGGATTTTCGTAAACTATTTCACTCATTCTTGCCAACAGCCCAAAGTTTCGAACTACTCCAATTTTTCTGGAATGCGCACTGGTTTAGATTCTCGATAAGTCTGAAACGACTGTTTCCCGGCTTTTTAGCATGGATTAACCTCAATGACAGGGCGGAAGCTCGATCGTGGTAAATGGCAAACAAGGCAAACAGACTTACATTGTGAGAAGTCTGGTTGTTGGTCTGTCCGCCGAGCTTGGTAGCTGGATTGCAAACGTTTCATCACCAATCGAGATGAACATAGTCAGTGTTTCTGATTTTGAATGCGGCCACACTTTGACATCGTATGTCAAGCTGCCTAACTAAGCGCACGGTTATCCGCTCTCGAGCACTTCATCATCATTAAGAGCCACTAAGCTTTGTAGATGGTTTACATTCGGCTCATGATCATGAGGGTCTGAATCAAGAAAATTAGTTGAATTTCCTAGTTTAGTCATATGTTTAAAGCCAAAAGACAGTTTCACTGCTATCAGCGTGAATTGTCGTTGGCTAGCGGAACTGTTTCTGGAAGTTAGTCAATTTGTGTACGCAGGTATTCTTCAATTCGGTGGCCGAATTCGGTACTATCATGTTCGCCTGGCACCTTTAATCTGAGTGTATAGCCGTACGATCGTCTTAGGAAAGACGATATTCATTATGTGGAATTTCGTTGGATTGATGGTATTCTGTGCTTGATTTGCGCACTGTATTATGGCTAAACTCCCACTTTTAGTGTAAACTGTTTGTATTTTCTATTCGGCCCTTGAAGTTAGGTAGCAGTTGTAGACCAATGTAGTCAGTGTATTCAGTGCAGTCAATGCACCCCAATCAGAGTCGCCTGCGTGTAAAGGCGACGTTTCACAAGCATCGGTCCTCGAGCACGAATGGATTAAGTTCAATGCAAACAGTCTTGCGTCCCAGGCCAACCTCTCCGGTCTCGTGGGTGTGGATGATCTGAAGTATTTAACCGCTGTCAACAACAATGGTTATGTGGAAACTATTCAGATTTCTGTCAATGCATTGTGTGATGGCCACACAAAGGGAGTTTGTCATTAATCCATAAAAAACGAAGCTAACATTCAATTGTCCGTCCCATACAACTGTGCTTTCATCATCTATTGAACGGACCAAACTTCAAGAAGGAATCGTTATGACGCCAAATGTGAATTCTGTATAAAACTCCGGGAGGAAGTTAGCAGCTACTGCCAGGCTCATGTGGACCACTGGATGCCTGTCACCTAACTAATTCCATGGTTTTTCTGATGTGAAACGAAACTTGGGGCCTGGATGGCTGGTGATTTTTTCAGTCATTTAAATCGAATTACGGATACTAGAATAAGTTCACCAAAGAGGGTCCAGGGTGGTGGCGGGATTTGAACTCTGTACAATTCTGTACAATCTTCCGCAAAATGGCACAATAATGATGGGTGAGATACATGACCTTCAAGGGGTGGTACAAAATCTCTCTTTCTACCGTGGTTCCCTTATTCTGGAGATTACTGTACTGAAATTTCTAAAAGAGCCGTTCCATCATTGTTAGTGACACGTATAGAAACTGGTTACTGGGTGAAAAACGGTTTCTTTTAAAAATAGCTGTGAGCCTTCTGACAAACACGCCTCAAAACTAGCTAACGATTGACTTGCCACTAGGATTGTAGAATCTAGTCTAAAACCAAGCACTTGGAAACATTTTAAAGTTCTTTTAGAAAATGTATTTACCCTGTAGATAACTGGTGACCAACAATAGTCATGAGGATATGAACTGAAGTTAGGATTTCTAAGTACGTCTAAAAAATCTGCCGGGATCGTTACCTTAGTGACAAATCATGGCGGTTTTAGGAGAAATTGGAGCGAAAATCTTTAGGTAAACTATGAACCCACGTTCGTATTTTGCGAAGGAAATAGAGTATATCAAAACAAGATTGAGTGCTGTTCACATCATTGATGATCGGTTGATATTTTTATATCAGACTAGGCATCAAACTTAAAAGCCTCTGCAACCACGAAGTTCACAATTGTCAGTCCTAAAAACAGAGCTCCTCGCCCAATCCAAATTAAAGCCCCCGTTCTAAAATCATCTTTGTTTTAAGAGTTCCAGTTCAACCCTCCTCGAGTATTTTCAGTAAATGCGTCCCCGATCAATTCAACTGGCCTCTGAAAGTGAGTTAATCTATGAAGAACACCTTCCCATGAACTAAAGTGATACTGAGGTAATTGAGGTTGCTCCATTAATCACTGACCCCAGCAGGCTTAGCCCCATTCATCATTAGTTATCATACTTCGTTTCAGACAAGCGTCCTATACAGTTGAGTTGCATATATCAATTGGTCCAGCCGCATAAAGTAGCCTGTGTTTCCTATCTTTGATATCAAGAGCTATCTCCAGCTGCTTGTCAGTTTGGGATTCTGGGCACCTGTGCAGCTCCACCTAAGGTGCATTTGTATGAAACGGATGAAGAAACGTTACACTCAGTGCAAATCTGTTGAGAGTAGATTGTTTACAACACTCAAATTAGCTATACTGGGTTCATTAGTTTAAGAGAGAAGCGGAGGGGAGGTGTAACGATTAATTATAGTCAGGAGGGCCGTTGAGTGTTTCGCATTTGATTTCCCTTTAGGAAGAACTTGCCTTTCGAAGTGCTCTTCAGGTAGTTTCTTATTTAGAACTAATTAGTTAAAATGTATGGCGCTCGACTAGTAAAAACTGCGCTGCAGGAAAAAAACTGTACACAACTCATCCATGGAGGGCTAGTTCCTCAAAGTTCACAGCTTACTGCAAATTAATTACGAAACAGTGTTGAAAACAGCAGCTAATACGTGGTTAACACATACGTCTCAGGACGTATATTACTCCAATTATTCCGTCCTGAACATTTTATGATATCAATTCTAGCACCCCGGCTGCGTTGGGCTACACAAGTTACTTTTTCGATGACTCTTCTTGTCAACCATGTGACAATATCAAGGAGAGCATTCTTGTTTCACCGCATGAGCAATATCGATTTAAAGAATGTTGACTGGATAACAAGTGCTGGTGATTTTATCTATACCTAGTTTTCCTTGACCTCAAATTCTCAGAGGACTAAATTCGCCTTTTGGATGGGTTTAAACGAAGCACGTACCGGTGCCGCTTGCGTTTTGGACATAAATGATTATTGCTGGGCTATAAAGTAGTATTGCCGTACAGCGAGAAACAAAAAACATCTTTGTTGGTGATCATCTATCGAAAGCAATTCTAAAGTGACTGCGGTAGACTTATTGAATTTCCGTAATTGCTGAGCCTTACGAAAAACATGAAAACAAACGGATGATGTGAAAATATTCAATTTATGAGACAACTTACCTCGCGCGCTTCGCGACAAATTTTACATATGGTCTCCGTAGTTGGTGTCTGTCTGCTTCCCCTTCTTTCGCGTATGCGCTCAAGAAGCTCGTGACCTTTTTGAGTGATACTAGTTGAGACGGATCGGGCGCGCTGGGATGCTTTTTCCCCTGCGGTCTCCTCCGTGGGACTTCTACCGTTGGGAGTTTCAATATTATCCGAGAAATGTCTGGAGCGCGTTATTGCTGGATTGGACGCATTGTGAACCGGGGTACTACGTGCTGACGCTGCTCCTGGTCTGAATGCAATCCAAGTGCGCGACGTTAATGGGTGTGAGTTTCGTGACCTTCGTGCAACCGGTACATCAACTGAACACGCGGAACACACGTGGCGGCCGCAGTCGCAACACACTTGGGCCAGGTTGCTCAGACGTCCGAATTCCTGCTTACAAATGGAGCATTCTGTTCGAGTATGTACGGTGCTATCATGTTTCATGCGATCCAGTCTTTGGAGCATTTGACTTGGAAGGGAAAGAATGAAAGACATAGGTGTTGTTCGTCGTCGTCATTTCAACATTTCTGTCTATCCATTTAAGAACTGATGAACTCAAGCGATTGAAAGGCGGAATACTTCACCGGGCAATGGTGATTGTCATTGATAAACGGCAAAGTGCGTGTAGTTTGCGCTAGTTGTATTTCTATGCAACAATGACACACTCTGGGGAACTAAGAATTAATTGCATAAATCTGGTTCGTTTAAGTAATTAAGATCTTGAGTTTTGGTCCACGCAGTACAACAATACTCTGTATTCTCTTCCCTTCTCACAACTAAACTGATAAATTAAATTCCATCACAGTTTGTTTTGGTAGTATCCCATTTCTGTGATTAATCCAAGAACGGTCAACGTCACACAACCAATGATTGCATACTGCAGACCCGGAACGCTCATCAGCAGTGAATAGGGAAACGCGATGTATATGGAACGAGTGCCTATTAAGCAATGTTTAGGAGACCAAAGTCTGGCCCAATATATCCTCTGTTTCAGTGTATACGCACATCCTATCTGATCACTACCATAAAATAATATTGCTTTCGAAGGATGTAAAACAGCTCATCATGCTCTCGTCCACTCAAACGGAAAATCCTGCCCTACATAATATCTTATTACAGTTTGTCACAGGAGATAAAATAACCACCGTTACCATGCGATGATCTGCAGTGAGAGGCAGCGATGCCCATAATTCAAGTTTTTGGAGAAGCCATGGCTAGACCATATTTAGGTGTTTTTATCTTCATGTATATTTGTTGTGATTGGGACATTCCATTTTTAAAGCTAATCCTACTCGTAAGGCACACTTTGTAGAAGGAACCTTTAATCGTTTTGGGGCACAAAAGGGATTGTTCAAAAGAAAATATGTAAATACTAGTTTAAATAAGGTAGCTCAACCTCCCGCTCAAAATGTGAGAGAGTCAGCCTAACCTGGTATAAGTTTCTGCGAATCCCAATCTGTATCCAAACATCCTGAGTGTTTCACAATTGTTCTGTACACCGTTTTAGGTGCACTACGCAACGATTACATATTTTCCCAGTTTTCGTCAACGTGTGGCAATGCTGTTAAAATCCTATTCCGAGCTGGAGGCAGGAGGAATATTTCTGCTGTGAACCTGCAGGTGATACGTCCCCGAGCAAATGAGAGTTACCACGCCATCTTAGGTGTGCAGAAACCAATTAAACACGATAAAGTTGAAGGGAAAATAACTTTCGCGTTTCTCATCAATCTCTATTGGACAGATTAAAGGTGCCTCCAACTTAGGAGCCTAATAACATAGGTCGTTTGCGGCGACCCTAGTTGAGTGTCCATTCCCCGGATTTTCGCGTTTCTCATCAATCTCTATTGGACTGATTAAAGGTACCTCCAACTTACGAGCCTAATAACATAGGTCGCTTGCGGTGACCCTACTTGAGTGTTCATTCCCCGGACTCAGAAAAATGCTGATTTAATGGTAATTTCTGGACACTCAATCTCGAAACAACAAAGTGCGCGTATTTCATTTTGCTCAATTGTTTACTAGCCAGCAAAGATGAGTGATGAAGTTCAAGTGGCAGCAACGACATTTGTGTACATCGAATGTTCCTGCGCAACTTGGCTTTTCTGGTGGCACTATATCACATTTCTGGGTAACTTTCTGTGAGCATCAATGCTATATTTAGCCTCATCCTGTAGCTAAGCACATACAAACAGCTAGCTGTCGAAAAAGAACTGCCAAGCAGTCTAATTCGCTTTAGGGTAATATTGTGTGGCACAGTCATCGTGTTTAAATTCGTTTTGTCGGTTTCGAATAATCCTCTCGAATAATAAACAAGGACCAAATAATAATTTATCGACATCGGCTGTGATGGAATTATGCGCAAGAAAGTCTATGCATTCGATGTTTTCATCTGTCCTACGGAACTTACGTTGTAGATCCAAGAGTGATGTTTGGCAAGGTGCGACAAAAAACTTAAATTTGGAATGTACGTAAATTTGAATATTGAAATGAAATACATAAATGCCGTTATTGTGCTGCGGCTTACTCAATGCGGTGCTTTTCACGCTGTACCACGTCCTCATTTCGTCGGAGTACTTGGAGAATTTGCTCCTCTTCTTCCGTACTCAGGCGCGTTGCGGGACGGCTCTGTGCGGACTGCGCTCTGGAAGACCAGCCCGCGCCGAGTCTGAGAATAATGGGGGAAAGTCCTTGGGATATTCGGCAGTGGACACTTGCAAGTGAGAAAAGACTATCCGACTAAACAGGAAGAGTTCTCAGTATCATAAGTAGTTTCTCTAGTTATCCGCCAATGTCATTAAAAATGATTATCGAAAGCTGCAGGACATGGAAAACCATTAGTGTTTGGTTTATTTACACGCTATTTTCAGTAAAATACCTTGACAATCAACATACATCGAGTGAACTAAAGCATCACAGTAGCGGACTATTACACTATCAGAAGTTTTCGTCGTTGTAAACCTTACACAGATACTGATCAGGAATAAACCAAAAAGTACACCAGATCCACTCGTTTATTTTCACATGTTAGGGTTTTTAAATTTCAAAACTTTTCAAATGCGGAGGACGTTGTGCTGTGATTATGTTTTATGAAAGTTCCGTATAACATACTGGTGCCTCTCCGGGAAACCTAATGACTTCAATTAATAATGGACGTTTTTTCGGGAACATTTCCACACAAAACATGCGTAATATCGCTTTGAAAAGTAACTGAGTTTTGTTCACGTTGTACACATCATCGTATAGTGACTGAATTCCGTTCCGTTAACTTCGGCAAATACTTTATTCACTCGATCTCGTAGTGGTCGATCGATGTTTGTGCTATATGGAAATTCAAATCTTATAAAGTAGCCGCAAAATCGATGAGTCCCATTTTTCGCCAACTCTTCTATCCTCTTCTATGATTGCATACTGGCACGGGAAACAACTCTCTGTAGGTTAACTGCATTTAATCCTTTATCCTCAAATCTGGCGTGGTGAGACCCTACTCGATGTCTGTCTGGTTTTATTCTTGCAAGGTCAATCTGCAACTTTTAAAGTACGTATTTTACATGACAGGTCAAATGATTAGTAGTGGCTTTGGAATGTCTCGTTTTAACACGTCTGTTGTTTTTTATGCGAAAGTTTTTAATCCTGAAAAGGGGCAGATTTGCTCGTGGATTTAGGCTCGCGCAACTCTTCGCGCACACAGTAATTAGCAGAGTTCAAGGTGATGTTGACAGTTTAAATGAGTACGGCCGCTTTCCTATATCCGCAAGGTAATCATTTGGGTTTATGTCTGATACCCTAATAGGCCAGCCATCAGAACCAAGATTGGCAAGCAAATTTAATTATGCCAGGAAGGTTAACGTTGCAGAAACTCAGTTAAGGCTGACTACTACTTACGAAGAATGTTTTGAGATGGGTGTCCGAAATGGCCGTTCTGAGGCAAATTGGATTACTCCGAAGTTTACCTAGTGATCTTTGTCGATATTTCTTGACTATCGCACTAACAAGCCAAACGCATTCATCTGTAAATTAGCTGCGGGGAAAATGGTAGTCCAGCGTAGCACTTTTTAGTGTCCAAACAGAGGTAACTCAATTTCATGTGGAAACCTTAGTCTTAGGCTCACGGCGATTCGTTGTGGTTGTTTCCTAATAAGGGGTGCCGGCCTGTGGGGGTTTCAATCTGAAACGCAGATTTCGGATAATCACAGAAACCAAAAGTGTGTTTGAATAGTTATGCTAAAACATTTGAGTAGCTTGGATTGTAGAGTGCCAAATGAAATGTCTTCTAGTTTTTTTCATTTGTAGGTCTTAAGACCATTCCGTAATGTGACTTGCGAGCTTCTGAAGCTATGCAAATAATATCCGTTTTTACGGCCTAAACTAACGAGGCTGGTGGAATTAGAACCCTTCTGTCCTATTTCTAACTTATTTTTTCTTATTGAATTTGTGAGTTTGACTTTTGGCCCATGAACATCATGTTACTCATTAGTGGATTCATTTCACATCAGCGCGTATAATGTAATAGAGCTATCAGCCTGGACTAAACATTAGTATAGTATCTAATTCCTTTAAATACTGATATAGTGATACAGTGCTGTGTATCGGACTATTATGTTCCCATTACTTTTATCCCTTTATTATTCTTCCGAATTGCTATTCATTTTTGGGATACAGTGAGAAGTAAACGCACACAGAAGAAATTGTTAGACAATTAAGGGTACATACGAGTGGACACAAAATATGTGAACTGCTTCTTCCTTCAAGACCTGGATCATCTACGAGTTCAAATGCTATTAAGGGCGAAATAGCTCAGTGGTTATTCCGCGAATTTACTGACCGGAAGGTCCGTATTTCGAATCGGATCTCCGCATTTTGACTTTCTAGGATGGGGCAACCTGGCAGGCCCCAGCTCCCGTGCTTCCTTCTGGTGGCATGGCAGTTATGCACCAAACGAACTAACTACCAACTACTAACAACACACAAGCATGCGCAATGCAGGATGCATCATTTTGGGACTTTACGTCTACGGATGGATAAGGTAAAACATACCCAGGTCTTGTAGGATCGTCATCTTCAATCACTATCTCCATTGGGCTAGTACCAATGAGCCAGTGAGTTGGTGAGGTAATGACTTCGCTTTTGTGCAACGGGGACTTTGGTCGAAGTAAGTGTCAGCCACCGGAAGCTGAAAAGCCTCATGGCATGAGGTAATGACTTCGCTTTTGTGCAACGGGGACTTTGGTCGAAGTAAGTGATCAGCAACAGAAGCTGAAAAGCTTCCCTCATGGCATGTTCACGCCGAGTCATTTTCTGC